ACCAAAAGCAAAATCATTACTATAATGTAACTTGAAGACGAATGCAAAAATAGAATTATGAAAGATAGCGCCTCCAAAAACCAATCAGCTTGAATACCAAAAGTCTGCTTGAATAAGAAGCTCTTTGGCAGGTGGCAGGATAACAAGGGAGCCAACCCCCACACCATGTAGCAGGGCATTCCTGGGTTTCCAAGCAGCCACCAAGAAGAGGGTCAGTCTTTCGCTCATGCCAAGGGACAGCCAAACTCTTCTCTGACTGTAGACAGGCAGTCAAGGAAGAAACCTTGAAAATGCTGGCATAGGGTGGGTGAGGAATCCCCTTGAATGGCATTAAGGATAAATTTTAAATGCTGATGCGATGATGCAAAACACAATGTTCAGCCCGCCTACCTTCATCTGGAGATTCTGTAACTCTTTCCAAGGCCAGGTGAGTTAAGGAAAGGAACCCAGGCCTGCCAGGGTGAAGTCCAAGGCTCCTCTCTGACATTACAATACAGCCTGGGTCCATATCTGAAGGACCGTATCTCCCCATAGGAGGCTCTTTAAGATAGTCGGAGGAAACCCTTATTTCCGTCCCATTGCCAGCTCAGACATGGTTGATGGGGACATGAGAGAGGGCCTTCTCTATGGCTAAGCCCAGACTATGAAATGCTCTCCCTCAGGAGATCAGGCTGGCCCCCTTCTTTTTGTCTTTCTTTGTTGTTGTTTAGTCGTTAAGACGTATCCGACTCTTCGTGACCCCATGGACCAGAGCCCGCCAGGCCCTCCTGTCTTCCACTGCCTCCCAAAGTCGGGTCAAAGTCATGTTGGTGGCTTCGATGACCCTGTCCATCCATCTCGTCTTCTGTCGGCCCCTTCTCCTCTTGCCTTCACACTTTCCCAACATCAGGGGCTTTGTCTTTCTACTGACAGCCAAAGATTCATCTTTTCAGGCAGGCTTTTTAACAATCATAACTGAACTCTTGAATGCCTTATCAGAGTTAAGATGGATTTTAATGTTTACTTGCTTTTAATTATTCAATTTTATTTTAATTAGTGTATATTTTAATTGTTTTTTTAGGTTCAACTTATTATGTTTTTAATTCTGTTCTTTTTAATACAGTGGTGCCTCGCAAGATGGGCGCTCCATTTAATGACGAATCCACATTACGATGAGGTTTTTGCGATCACAGAAGTGATCGCAAAACGACGTTTTGAATGGGGGGATTTCACTGCGCGATGATCGGTTCCCTGTTTTTGGAACCGATTTTCACTTCCCGATGATCAAAACAGCTGATCGTCGGATTTTCAAAATGGCTCCCCGCTGTGTTTAGGAGCCATTTTTCGCTGCACAGGCACCTGAAAATGGCCGCCCCAATGGAGGATCTTCGCTGGACGGGGAGTTCTTAGCCGACTGGAATGCATTAACCAGGTTTTAATGTGTTTCAATGGCTTTTTTATTTTCGCTTTACGACGTTTTCGTTCTACAGCGATTTTGCTGGAACGAATTAATGTCGTAATGCGAGGCACCACTGTATTGTGAGCCACCTTGAGTCCCCTTATCAGGAGAAAGGCAGCCTATAAATAAAACAAACAACTAAATAAACTACAACCGCAGCCCTCCCTCTACCATGGGAAACAGCTCCACAGACCAACACCAAACCTGCCAATGATGTTGCCTGCTGGAAACGCTATACAAGTGGCAGTACTGCTTCTCCCACAAGCACTCCTCTCCCTCTTCTTCGCATCCTACAATCAGATTCAGGACGTATTTACTGCAGAAATGACTCCTACAGCTTTCAGTGGGACTTACACTGGCAGTGGGCAAGAATAAGTGTGGAAGACATTCCAGAAAAAGTCAAGGAAACTTTTTATTAGCCTTTATTCCCAAGTCCGTACAACAGCACAGCTTCTGCAAGTGAGCATCAACAGAGCAATCTGGATCTGTCTGGTGGTGAAGCCTTTTGAATTTGTGAGACACGCCTGCCTCTGGTAAATTTGGCTAGCGTGAGCAGGCAGGAATGCCGACTCCGAAATGTGCGTTCCTGCTACAACGAGCCCCCTTCAAGCCAACCGGACCTGGACAAGGGGAAATATTGCTGCCATCAAGCAACAAGACAGAAGACTATTTTTTTCCTACCCCTGCCTTTTAATTCCCTTGCAGGCTTCCAGTTGTTCACTTCTGCTCCCTCACTGTTCACCGGTCTTGATTTTGATGCTAATTTTATGCATCTTATCTTTCGCACCTGCAGAAAACAGAGCTAGGATCCAAGCGGCAAACTCATGACTCACTCCCTTTTAACCACAGGAGCAGTTGCTCCATAGACACCTTCTCACACGGGCGTTGCTTATGTGCCAGGAAAACCTGTACATGCCACCACATGAGGTGATGATTTTGCTTCACGTACAGATGTGTGAGAGACCTCTGGCGGTTAGAACTCATTAGACACAGAAGGACAAGGGAAACAACATCGATGCCAGCAAACAGGGCATTTCACGCTTTCCAAAAAATGCACCAGTTACGCCTGTGGAGACATTGCCTTTGGGATGGAATCTCCACCCAAGGCTTGAACAGAACCACCTGCAGCCTCAGTCACACGTTCCTCCCGGTTTACCACCACTGTTTACTTCGGCAAGAGAATGAATCGTTCTTCTACAATAATTAGACTACAGTACTCTAATTACGGCTTTTGCTTTTAAATCTACATGCTGCTTTTACATCTGTTTTAGCAATGTTTTTAGCTAACATTTTTAATATGTTTGTTTAATTCTTCTTAAATATATGGTTTACTACTTTTAGCTTTCAGTATTGTGTTTTTAACAATGTAAGCCAACTTGGGTCCTTTTGTAGGAGAAAGGTGGGGTAAACATATTAAATCGATTGATCAATCAATCAATCAGTCCTTTTCTGATCTTTCAAAACCAAAATTCTGTTCCCAGGGGTCCTAACTAGAGATGGGGCTATTTGTATACAAGTACGAATTCCCAGCTGGGAAGTGTTGGGTGCCTAGAAAGATGTGAATATTAAGGTCCTTTTCTGATCTTTCAAAACCAGAATTTTGTTCCCAGGGGTCCTAACCAGAGATGGGGCGAATTCCCAGCTGGGAAGGGTTGGGTGCCTAGAAAGATGTGAATATTAAGACACAAATAAGACCACTGAGGTGAAGCATCTCTCCAGCTTGATCGTCTTCATTCCTGCTTTTGAACTGTCCCTCTAGTCAATGAAGAGAGGAGAACTCTTAAAAGGAGTATTGCTTTGTGTATGATGACTTTGTACAAAGCACCGCTTTACTGGTTTTAATGGAATGTGCTTTGGTTTAGAGCTCAACACGTATGATGCTGATGCTGCCCTTGCTGATATTCAGGGACAGAAACTGGCAAGAAACTGAATTACTGTTGTACTGTATGCTGCATATACTTCAGTTGGACTGGCTGAGAGAACAGGATGTGCACAGCCCAAATGATCCACAAATATGCTCACAACTACTTAAGCATCTCATTCCACATGGCAGCTGAAGGTTCCCCGTATGAATGGGATTGTATGGAACGTTCAGTTATTCAAGGAAATAAAAGTTACAGTGGTGCCTCGCTTAGCGATGTTAATCCGTTCCGGAAAAAACGTTGCTAAGCGATTTCATCGCTAAGCGAAATTAAAAAGCCCATAGAAACGCATTAAAACACGATTAATGCGTTCCTATGGGCCAAAAACTCACCTTTAAGTGAAGATCCTTCATAGGGGCAGCCATTTTGGCTACCTCTTAAGCAAGGAAACACAGCGGGCGGCCATTTTGTTTTCCCAGCTGCCATTTTGAAACCGCCGATCAGCTGTTAAAAAAGGGTTGCTTTGCCATGATCGTTTCCCCGCGATCATTGCAAAGCGAAAAAACCCCATCGGGACCATTGCAAAGTTATCACTTTTGCAATCACAAAAACTCCGTCGCTAAGTGATTTCGTCGCTCAACGGAGCGATCGCTATGCGAGGCATCACTGTATTTATATGGCAACTACAACATACATGATGCTCTGAAGAAGAAGAAGAAGAAGAAGAAGAAGAAGAAGAAGAAGAAGAAGAAGAAGAAGAAGAAGAAGAAGAAGAAGAAGAAGAAGAAGAAGAAGAAGAAGAAGAAGAAGAAGAAGAAGAAGAAGAAGAAGAAGAAGAAAAAAAATCAGATTGGATTTATCAGCAGCCCCTCTCTTTGAATCAGGGGGTAAAGTCTGTGAGCTGCAAGAGACACAAGTTAGAGGCTCCAGTTCTCATGACAGGGAATCTGCCCTTCCAAGAGTCCTGCATACGAGAATGACATGTTGATTCCAACAGGAAATGCCCACAGGAGTCACCAGTTGTAGGTTTCCATCGCATTCCTTTGCTTCACACAGAGACACCATGACATTTCTGCTAATACCACCGTGGCAATATAATTACCTTTTGCAAGAACTCAGAATGTTAGGAACATGGAAGTTATGGATGTTAAGAGCAAGGCAGGCCAACGTGGGTACGGATTCTGCTGGCAGGAGGGACTGCTTATGGGGGCCTGAAGGATAAGAGATCTGAAGTGACAAACTCTATTGACCCACGGCAGACATATGAAAATGTAAGGGTAGAGATGAAGCCTATTCCTTTGGCAAAGATTTCTCCAGGAGATTCCTATACATGCCACATCAGCACTTGAAGCGTTCTGCAAAATGACCTCATCTTTTCCCTACTGCAAAGGCCAGACAAGCCCTCCAACGCTACATATTGGCTTCATGGCTGAAGTCTCAACAGCGTCCAGACTCCCTCTGGCGAGGTTTGAACAGTTTCCTACCAATCAGTCAGTCACTGGCCTGTTTACATATGTGGCCCCGGGGTCAGGAGAACATCGCACCTAGGCAACCAAGTGAGACTGCAAAAGTTGGGTCCTTTTAGGCTATGACTGGGATGGGGTGTGAACACGGCAGGCCAGAAACTTGTGGGCTAGCTTGCAGGAGGAAATACAGCCTATGCAGTCTGAAGTGTGCCCCAAGTGAAAAGAAGTACTTACCTTAAGAAGATAATCCCTTATTACGTCCTGAGTCTCACAAACAGTTTATCTGAAAAAGAGATTTTTAAAAAGCAAAAACAGTTACTGATGTTCCAAGAAACTGCTTTGTTTTTACAGAAAATATATCCAATAGAACATGCACAGGAATATTCTTGGATAGAAAACACAAGCCTGAATCAATTTGCACAATTATTTCTACAGTCGTGTCTCGCTTTACGATTGCCCCGCATTACGACGAAACCGCATTACAATCTTTTTGCAGCTGCAATTGCAATCGCAAAACGATGGTCTAAATGGGTTTTTTCGCTTTGCGATGATCGGTTCCCTGCTTCAGGAACCGATTCTTTGCAAAACGATGTTTTTTAAAAAGCTGATTGGCGGTTTCAAAATGGCCACCGGGTAAACAAAATGGCTCCCCGCTGTTTTCTGGGACAGATTCCTTGCAAGACAGGCAGTGAAAATAGCTGCCCTATGGAGGATCTTCGCTGGACGGTGAGTTTTGACCCCACTGGAACGCATTGAAGGGGTTTCAATGCGTTTCAATTGGGTTTTTTCGCATTACAATGTTTTCGCTTAATAGCGATTTTCCTGGAATGGATTGTCGTCGTTAAGCAAGGCACCACTGTAATCAGGTAAACAATGACATCATCACAGAATGTTCAACCCATCAAAATATGTTAACATAATATACATAAACCAGCTGTCTATACCCAATTCTACAGGCAATTAAGGGAAGAACAAACCACACTCTCAGATTTAGCTTAGAGATCTAGTCGTGGAAGTTTACTGCATTCCAACTACATTTCAAATTCTGTATTTCCTAATAAATCCTAAGAGTTAAAGAAACCCAAACACTGGCATTACTAAGTCCTTAACCATCCCAACAGTCAGACTCTAACAGACAAAGCTGTAGATAACGACAGAGAGACTTCCAAGCCATGCTTGTTCCATGATCAACTCAAAAGTGGGAAGAAGCTGTTCTGGAAGAGACAACAGCGCCACTTCCCTGTCTTTCCTCTCAACACTTAGAAAGTTGTCAGATGCAGTACCAGCAAAAAAGAGAAGGATCTCACTGTTTCCCTCAAATCACACTTTTTAAATTGAAGGGGAACTTGAGGAGAAGGAGTGAGGTGACCAGGTGTGGCCATTTTCCCAGCTGCAAGGGGAACTTGAAGAGAAGGAGTGAGGTGACCAGGTGTGGCCAGAGATGACAAACAAGGCAGGCCTCCCCTCGGATCAATACTCTGCCAACGTTGCTACCAGGAACAACTGAAGGTCAGGCCATTTCACGAGTGATTCTCAAAGAGGGAGAAGCACCAGCCTGTTTCAGCTTGCACTAAAAGTTGCAGCAGAAACTTTCAGGAGCAATGAATTGATTTCAGTGTGAGTTTCCTTGGAAAGCAACACAACAGCTCACATCAAGCTTTCACTGCTGCCACAATACTTTAGTTCTGGTTTTGTTATACCACACACCAGTCACAGTCCCATCAAACCTGCCAATGTGAACTCCCAGTCCAAAGGAGCTGTTTGCAAAATTACACAACTCAGGTGAGACACCAAGTTTCCACCCACGCCGCACATCAGCTGACATGCAGCATCACTGCCAGAATCAGAATGGCATCACGCCATGAGTTGAGTATGCTTTCACAGTTCACCCTGCAACATTAGTGTACTGAGAGTGGCTCAGAGAATCAACAAATGTTTGCCAAGCATGCCAGAGTGAGAGTTACGACACAGAGGGCGACTGTACATGTCACACAATATGCTATGGCATACTCTGTTGCTGCTCGTACATCAAACAAGACCAAGCAAGTTGTTGCCGTTGTTATTGGTGTTGTTTCGGCTTATATACCACCCCATAGTGCTATAGCTCTCTCTGAGCAGTTTGCAACAGAATTATCCACACAACACTTTGTCCCCCAGCAAGCTGGGCACGCATTTTACCAACCTTGGAAGGACAGAAGGCTGAGTCAACCTCGAGCCAGCTACCTGAACATCCTGGGATCAAACTCAGATCACGAGCAGAGGCTTGACTGCAGAACTGCAGTTTAACCACTACACTGCACGGCTTTCTTAGGCACATGACCACACACATGTCTGTGCACAGTGGGTGATCACAGTGCTGTGGGAAAGCTGTGTTCCCCGCATAATAGCTACAGTTGCCCTGAATCAAAATAAAAGACTCCCCCCCAACTGCATGAGAAACAGAGGTCCAGAAAAATACTGAAAGACTACCCCTAAAAAATGCCCCTGTGAAACTCAATACCCCTAACACAGCAGGGGTGGGCTTTCAAGTGCTCATTAAGCAGGGAATTCAGCAGTCCAAAGGTCAGCCCTGCAAAAGCTGCTCACTGTAGTGGCAACGGTGAAAAAATACATGGCACAGAGGAGGCAGAGGGGCAGTTCAACATGAAGCTTTTGAGAGATACTCCATTTTAATACTGTATATCAGCCAAAATCCAAAGAAAAAGAAAAGAAAAGAGACAAACATGTGACACTATTTGAATAATAAAAGCCAGCAGAGAGCCATGAATGTTGGTCCCCTGGAAGATAAATTACTAGAGATGAGGTGGACAATACGCCACTGCGCAGATGAATGAGCAGTGAATGCTGTGCTCCTTCCCTAGAATCCTATGAGACTGAATTTCATCACATATAACTCCACCAACAATCGTAAGGAACATGCTCCGTGTTCAGGCAGATCTCTCTCTCTCTCTCTCTCTGAAACGTCTATTGGGTTGCAAGTTCTGAAGAACAATGGTGGTGCATCACTAAAGAACTAATCTGCAGTGAAAACTGGAAAACCCCATGAGATATTTCCTAACCCAAGGAAGAAGACATCACTTTCCAAAGTGGAGGCACAGGTGAGCCCCACAGCACAGATGAAGCCTTGGAAGGCAGGCTCTCAGCTGGAGGAAAAAAGGTGGACAGAAGCTTTTGAGAGATACTCTATGCCTGGCTCCCACCATGCACAGTCTTTGAGTAACCTTTCAGGAAGGTGGAAGTGGGCATTTAACCCTTTTTCTCTACAAATGAAAAAGTAATGTTTGGAGAGCAAGCTTCAAGCTGAAGGATGACAAGAAAGTGAAATATAGAGACAGAGAGACTCATCTCTCCCTCCCTCAATGGCTGAACGTATAGCACTGGAAAAACAAAATATTAAAATGGTTTTGATTTTATAGCCAGCTAAAAGGGAACAGGTCAAGCATCTACTACTTCATTCTCTGAAATGCCAGCTCATAACCCAGGCCAATTTTGGCTTTTTAAAACTTATGAGAGAAAGAGAGAATCAGAGAGAAGGGTGAATAACACCCCAGGGATCACACTGAAATTTAGTTAAACATGGGTGGAAGATTACGAATAGCAAAGGTCTAATCCCATCCCAAAACCCATATCAGTTCATAATGAACTTGCAGCAGTAATTCTGCCATTCTCTGTTTCTCACAACGGAACAAAAAGTGCCAGCAAAGCCACGATCCGGAGGTCTCTGTGGGCAGCACAGTAACAAAACCCAAGGGTCAGCTTGCCACAGCTTCCTATGCTTTATTATTCCCAAAACGGCACTGGAGAAGCCAGTAATGTGGCTCAGACTTGACACAAAGAAAGACAATTTACACAGGCTGAAAGATGCATGTTGGGATCCACCGCCTGTACTCACAAAGGCTACTACAGTCGCAGGATGCACAGTAAGCAAGGTTCCACCGTCTTGGAAAGCTGAAATTTTAACGTCAGGCTTCCAGACAGCCCTCCAGAATCTTGTACGGCATCATCATCATCATAGAACTGCAGAGCAGGGAGGGACCCTGTGGGTTGCCATGATTCATATCTTTCCCTCTCCCCACCGTAAATATACCAGGTATGCCGATTTCTAATTTATTTGCCTTTTTAATACAAAGGTGCACTCCACCTTAGGAAGCCTTGAAATAAATGGGATAAACCTCAGTGAGAAAGGGGCTGTGTTTGCAAGATGCTGAAGAGGCAGTATTCACCTGCTTCTTAGCTTCACTGAGCCCTTGCCATACTAATGTTCAAGACTCCCTGGGCAAGCTCTAGGTAAACACAGATTGCCACCCAGGCCTTCCGAGTCCTTTACCATTGGCTCATGTCTCTGTGTTGACTTTCATGTAAACTCTGTTTCCCATTATTGATGTTCTTATCAATAAACCCCAGGGATCCTAGGAATGCAGATTGAAAACCAATGGCTCAGAAAACAGCGCTGAGCTGAGTGGCACTTGTAGGGAGTTCAGTTATGTTTCTACCCACCCCAGGCTAGGCCTCTCTCCCTGTGTCCCATGCTCTCCCAGCCCAAACCTCCATGCCCTTCACTTTGTTTAGCTAATCAATCTCTCCCACAAAAAGCGAGATTTGTGCAGACTCAGTTAACATCTACCTTTTATCTAGACACAAATTCATTTGCCCTGGAGCGAAATTTGGATTTTTGCTGGCAAAGAGTGATCCCTGAGATTTGCACAAGGCAATTTTGCCAGCGCATTTCCTTATCCACCCCAGACCCCTCTCCCCCTCAAGCCTTCTAACACCCCATTCCCCTTATCCTCTCTGTCCTCTTGCAGCTTGCTAGTTCGCTCTATTTGCAAGAAATAGATCAAGTTTGCTCTATTTGCAAAAAAGGCTGACGTATTATTTGAAATTTGACAGCCACATGGAAACAACTCTTCACATCAGCCAATTCTTTTTTTAAAAAAAAGAGCAGACGACCAAGGAGGCAAAACACACTGCCAAGAAGGGAGAAGGCCATGGAACTACCAGGGACCATCTTTGGCCTTGACTTCCGAGTCCATCTGATTTCATCATCAGACTATCCTATGTGCCCCAAAAGAATTGGCACTGCTCAGCCTTGGACAAAACATTCAGAGTATTTAGAAAAGGGCAGCTCAGAGATGAACTAGCCCCACCCAACCCAAATAATGTATGCAGAAAAATCCAAGTTTCTTGAAAGAAACCCTTGCCTTCTTTCCCCTCAGTGCTTATCCCCAGCAGAGGCAGAATGTTTCACAAACAAATTCTAAGCACTACATGGGAGAGATGTCA